TGACTGAAAACTTCTCTGCTGATTCCTTAACTTATTTTCATACATGTGTGTTATGTTCTCACTTTCTTTCTGTATCCTGATAATTGGATCATTTTTGAACAGTTGGCTATTTACTCTTGGAGGTGATAGTATAGATGAAATATTGGTGGCTTTATCACAATATATGCTGGTCTTGCAGAAACAGCCTTGCTGGGCTCCTTTGCTTTCACACCTTCTATTGCTAGACTTGTTGGAGTTGGTTATGAAACAGACAACCCATAAAAATATTCTGAAATATCCTCTGGGTTTTGTTGCAGGTGAATGGTCTAGGGAGTAAGTGGTATTTTTATTTTAATGTTGTTTCAATTTAATCTTCAGTGCTCTGTAAATGTGGAAATACATGACAAACATTTAAGAATATACAAAACCCAGCCTATGCTGCATAGCAAAATTCCTGATTTGTAATGATTGAGAAAAGCATTTTGGTTTGACTTTTAACCTAGCGAAGTATGTCAAAGCCCTGAGCCTGTAAAGCTTGTTTAAAATTAATACATAAAATTATGAAATCTGTATAGTATCTGTGAAATTGTCAGTTAGAGAAACACGGTACAAAACACGTCAGTGCATGTAAAATACCTCTTCACTTGTGAAGTTGTGTGCAGACAAGCAGTCTGATTCCTTTTTCGAAGTTGTGGTTCCATTTTGAAGAGGAGAAATATATGTCACAGAAGCAGGACGTGGTGTGCCTGAGCAACCTTGCGCATCTAGGAAGCGTAACAATGAAAGGACTGCTTGTGCAGTAGTTCAGACTGCTGCTGGTACAGGTCTAGCCATGTTTTGGTGAGGACTGCAATTCAGAGAGAAATGGAGAGATGTTACTGGAAATACCCTGTTTTGTCTGAAGAAGAGCGTGAGGCTGAAATCCACAGTTAATAGACTATGGATGTGAGCTGCAAACATTATTATCACAGAGCTGGACAGACAGCATATCTGTAAGATACTGGGGATTGGAAGCTTGGAATATTATTCGTCAGTTGAGCCTTACTTGCCGTCTCTCTTATTTCCTGTCCTGCTCTGGCAGCTTTGCTCTGCCAGTAATGGATAATGTTGGTCCTTTTTCCCCTGAAAGATGTGCCAGTGTGCAAGGCACCGCACTGTGGAAAGCCTCACTCTAAACTTCAACTTGATAAAAGGAGCAAATTTGCATACTTTCTGAAAGAAATTACCTTGGTTTGAATTTATTTTGCTGAATCATTATGTAAGATTTGACAGTTGGAATCCTCTCTGTGCCTCCATAATTTTTTGTAAAGTGTTCTCATGGTGTAAAAAAGACTATCGGCAACCTGTCAGTTTCATATCCTTCTCTGCAGCCTTTCAAATATTGAATAATCAAGCCTTAATTGTTTTATACAACAAATAGTTTATTTCTAGGGATACCATGCTAATTTCTATGGTTGTGCAAAGAGAGCATTAAGTTGCCTTCCACATCACGAGTTCTCTGCCAGGTAACAGAAAAGAAAGGTGCATGTACTGTGCTGAAGGTAGTCTCAGTATTGCTATTCTTGAGTAATTTTTAAACCATACAGATGTATGGAAATCACTTTTGTGTTAAGCCTCAAAGTGATGCACTCACTCAACGTTTCAGTAGCTGTATTGTCATGGAAGAAGTCCACACTTGGCCAGGTCAAACTGTGCAAGCTTCATGCT